TCAGAACACGCATTTCAATTTGTACACTGCAGATGATCTCAAATACTCCCAAAGGTGGTGGGGTGCGGAGGTTTCTTTCTGTAGTATGTATTTAACAGAATAATACTGAGAGGGATTTTATGAACTTGATACTTCTAAAGCACTAACAGTTGGGTACTAGACAAGTGTAAGCATCCAAGCATTTTTTAATTATAAAAGAGCAAATCCATGTCTACACTAGGAAACTATTTCGAAATTACTAAATTCAAACTTAAGAACTCCCGATTTAACAAATTTGAACTAGCGTGTCCTCACTATGGGGAAGCATAGAAATTAGTCTGAATTAATCCAAATTAGCACATCCACATTGAACGGAGCCTGCCTCAGACTGAGAGCCCCCAGAAGCACTCAGGCACCAAAAGGATGGATACATCCTGTGACTGCTTGGTTGGGCAAGCTGTGACACATGCTTTCAGGGGCTCCTCTCTATGACCGCATCTCATAAGACCCTCTCACACTGCCTCCCTCCTCACGGGACACAAAAGGGATGCAGTGAGCTGGGCAGGTGCTGATTGGTGATGGAATGTGCATTTGGCCATTTAAAGGGGAGGTTCAGGAGTCTCCTCACCGGTTTGGATCTCAGAGAGAGCAACATTCCCTTCAGGGTGGCCAGCTGTTGTGTGCTCCATAACCTGTGCAAAAACTAGGGGGGAGACTTTTCTGCCAGTTTGGGGGGCTGATGCTGAATGTCTGGCCAGAGTGTTTGAGCAGCCGAACATCAGGGCCATCAGGAGAGCACAGCAAGGGGCTGTGCTCATCAGAGAGGTCTTGAAGGACAGTTTCATGCAAGGCCAGTTCTGAGACTCTCCCCCATGTCTCTTCACAAGAGGCCCCTGAATTCCTGTGTGTGCCTTTCATCCCTATCCCTTCCTTTCCACCTTTCCTCTTCCCTGCAGAGAAAACAATAAATATATATATTTTTAAATCAGGAATCTTTATTGGGGGAACATAGAACAGCGGAGGGACTAGGTAAATAACCTGGAATGGGAGAGGGGGATTCAGAGATGGGGCTGGGACTGGTGCCTGTTTCCGGGTGGCATGCAGGCTCTGGCTGCCCTGGAGGGCCCATCATCCCATATTCTGGGGTCTTGGCAGTCCCTGGGGACCCTTGGAGAGGAAGCCAGTGGGCAGGCAGAGACGTGGCTGGTTGCCCGCTCCATGAATGACACCATGAGCTCCATCATCAAGGTGAGGGTGGAGAACATATTTTCATGCTGCCACGCTAGCTCTTCCCACGTAGCCTTCCTCTCCGCCTGGGCAGCCTGGTGCTCCTTCCAGTTGGCAGCTTGCTCCAGGTGCTCTGCTTCAAGTCTCTTGACGAGGGACTGCAGGCAGACCATCTGCTCCCGCAGGAGCTCTTCCCGGGTGCTTTTCTACCTGTGGATTCCACTCAGTCGGATGGATGGTGTGAGAGCCGGGGGACATGTGAAGCTCGCAGCTGTCTCAGTCATTACAGGAGACACTGTGCATGAAGCCTAGCCCTAATCTCTGAGCTAACACCAAAGATCTCAGTTCAGATGATGGAGATGTGCTTTGAGCAAGGCCGTATATTGCCTAGAAAGTGGGGACTTTCCAGCAGGGGCACAGACCTTCCAGGGGAGCATTGCAACACCCAAGGCTTGCAAATAAGCAGGCATGTGAAGGTGCCAACTACATCAGCAGCCTGTGGGTGGGAGGGGAGACAAGGTGGCTTGGATTCCTTCTGTATCCTGCATACGCCGGGTCCAGCACTATCGGTGTCCTGCAGAGAGAGAACTCTTCTATCCCTGCCCTGTGGAGGGGCGGGGGGCAGGGGAGGCGTTGGGAGAGGTGTGTGTGAGTGGCAGATGCTGCTTGCTAGATAGAGTGTTACTCAGTTCCCCTATTTTCCCCCTCCCAGCAGGTTCCCATGCACAATATTGGTCTCCTCCGCATCACTGCCCTTGACTGGGAGGGAATGCTAACAGATTGTGGGTATGACCCTGTGTCAGGTGCAGCACTGCTACATGGTTCCATGACCCCAGACTCCTTAGTGGTGGCTTGTCATGGGAAGGTGTCCCACCACTGAGGCTGGAGTAAGGAAGGCCTCTCCAGGAACTTTCTGAAAAGAATTGCGGGGTTCCTGTGTGAGAGCAACGTGGAGCTGAGTGTTCTGCACTGGCACTCCATGTGCATACATGTAAATCATCTGTTGTGTGACTCTCAGGCTGAATAGGCCAAGAGATAAGCGCACAGCCCCACACAGCCCGTCTCCTGATCCCGCTTATAGATAGGGAAAGGTAGAGAACTCACCTGAAGTGCCATCCCCAGGTTTGTCAGAAGCCTGGGAGACATCCTGGGAGGAGGGACCAGCTCCCATATGAGGAGCAACTCTTCACTTGTGGGCGTGGTCTCCTGGCTGGCCTCCTCCCACCAAGTCGTCAGCATCCTCCTCCAACATCCCACCCTCCTGCAGACTGACACAAGGCGGGTCTTGGCTGGACTTGACAATGATGCGGGTCTTGGCTGGACTCCCCTCCCATCCAGGATGACATCCAGCTGCTTGAAGTAGCAACAGGTGTGTAGTGATGACCCAGAGCATCCTCTCTGCACCCTGGCATTGTGGTAGGCCTGGTGCCACTCTTTTATTTTCAGCCGACACTGTTCGAAGATCTTGCTGTGCCCTTCCTTAGCCATGCTGGTGGCGATTCTGCCATAGATATTGGCATTGTGCTTCTTGACGTGGAGATCCTGGAAGTTGGACTCCACCCTCAAATTTTGATGAAGTCCAGGATCTCTGCACCAATCCAGACCAGAGCTCTTCTGTGTCCCTGGGCAGTGGAGGCCATGGGAGCAGTAAAAATTATGGCAGGCAGAGGAGGATCCAAGGGAGCACAGGGGTTGCTCCTATCTCTCTCAGGTCCTGGTCTCTCACATAGGGCTCGCACAATTGACCACGTGGGAGAAACCCTTCCCCTCTTCCCAGGA